GGCGACGACGGCGACGACGAGCGAAAGCGAGAGCGAGAGAGAACGACAGCAGGGCCACGAAGGACACGAAGTAGGCCACGAAGGGCGACAGCGGGGACACGAAGGGAATGCGAATGGGACCACGAAGAGTGCGAACGAGCGGGGGCCGCGAAGTGCAGAGAATGCGGGGCCACAGAAGGCAACTATGGGGCCACTGAGGGTAGCAACTGGGCCACGTAGGACAATGAGGGGGACACAGATGGCGACAGCGGGGCCACGAAGGGCATGCACAGTGGGCCACAACGGGCGCGACTCCTGGGTGCCTGGGTGTCGGGAGCGCGGCGCTTGGGCAAATTGCAGGAGATTCCAACGCAAGGCTATTCTTCAGTAAGTTGCAAGCAAGTCTCCAGCGAGAGCGCGACTCCAGAGCTCCGGGAGAGCGATTCCTGAATAAATTGTAAGGAAGTCCCAAGCGAGAGCGCGATTCCTGAGTAAAATGCGCGGAAGTCTCGGGCGGGAGCGGGGGTCCTGCCAAATTGTAAAGAAGTCTCAGACGGGAGCAATTGTTGTTGTAACCCAGGGGCCAGGGGGCCAGTTTGAGCAGGAAGACTTTCCCTGTCAAAAAACAGGGTGCGGGCGTCGAGGGGCGCACTTTGATTGAGAAAAAGCAGTATGCACCGGTGAGGGGGGATCAACAATAATTATTCTTCAGAAATGAGAATTCAACAACACCAACAACAACACCAACAACAACAACAACAACAACAACAACGACGACGACGACGCCGACGACGACGACGACGACGACAAAAAGTTAGTCCAAAGGTCATTGACGCCGTAGCGCCCCCTTGAGGCTGGAGCCGTGTCCTTCCTTCACTGCCGAAGCCTCCTCCCAGTCTCCACCACGGACGGGCGCTTCGCGTGAGACTTTCCCGAGGCTGATGATTCAGGGGCTCCTGCTTGCGGCGGCTGCGGGGATGAGAGACGACATCTTCTCCCGAATGGGGATCTCGCCCTGGCGCTGCCCAAATCCCATTCAAAAGGATGGAGGGTGGCATTTAAAATGAAAATCTCGCATCAGCGCCGCGCGCATTCGCGAAAGTGAAAGCAACGTTAGGGATTGAAGGCTCGCTTTCGACATGGTGCTCTCGCCTACGTAAGCGCCGAGCATCTTGGTCTTCAGAGCTCGCAGCAGTTACAAGCGTGGGAGACGACTCCTCTTCATAATGGAGCTCTCGCTTGACCCTTCCCCCGAATGATCGACCAGAAGCTCGAACTGTGCAGAAGCTCGACGGATGGGGGGCACATTTCTGACACGGTGTTCTCGCGCTGCAGGTTCGGCGCAACAGTTCCACAGACGGGGGGCGATTCCTTTCCCAAACGGGACTCTCGCTGGACACACCGCTGATCCTGCCTTTTCGCGTTCCTCGAGATTCGCTCGAAGGATGCACGGCGGTCCCATTTCAGAATGAGGCCCCGCCTGAACGGCAGGCGAAGAGGGTGCTCAAAATTCAAGGGGGAACTTCTTGCGGTTAAAGACGGAGGCTTCATGGGTACGTCTATGAGGAGGAAATTTGGGGCAAGAGGGTGCGTTTCAGCATAATTGACGAGTCCTGAATCTACTCTGGTCCTCCACCTCCTCGTCCTCCTCCTCCTCCTCCTCCTGCTCCTCCTCATCCTCCATCCCTTGTCCTTATGAATAACTCCTCCCTCTCGCACCCCGAGACGTCTCGGTGGGGCGGACCGGGCGTTTCGCCAGAGACTCCCTCACTAGTAATGGTCCTGAAACTTAAACTCTGCAACTGTTTCCCGGATGGAGGGCGGTACGGTTTCAAAATGTGGTTTCGCCTTGGCGCCGTGCACACTCGTCTTGGCAACCTGCACCATTTGAAAGGATGGAGGACAGGCCGTTCTCAAAATGTAGCTCTCGCCATAGTGCCGCGCACATTCGTGCTCAACGTGCGCAAGAGCTTCACGGATGGAGCGCAGCCCGTTTTCAATATGGTTCTTGCCTCAGCGTCGGGCACATTCGTTGTACATGGTTGCAAGAGATTCACGGATGGAGGGTGGTTCCTTTTCAAAATGTGACTCTCGCCCTAGCGCCGCGCACATTTGTCTAACAAATTCACAGCAGCCTCAAGGATTCTCATGGCTAACGTCCCAAGCACGGTGTTCTGGCACGATTTGGGGAATGTCAGGGCAAAACAATCACATTGGTTCGCGGTGTCGAAATCTCAGGAAGGATGTTCTGGCACGATGCAGGCCCGTCAGGACGCACAGTAACGTTGATTCAGGGCGCTGAACTCTCAGAAATAATGTTTCGGCACGGTTGGGGATTTCGGACGGTTGTCTTCAAATTGGGCACTTCCCGCAATCAGACAAATCCGTACAGTGACCTGAGTAAAGGGAACTTGGGAGGAGGGTTGACTGCAGCATCGTTGATGCGTCTTGGGTTTACACTGGTCCTCCTCTTACTCCGCCTCTTCCTCCCCCTCCTCCTCCGATCCCTGGCGCCGTCGTGTCCTTCCCAAACAACCCAGCCATGGCCGGCCGCGTCAGTGGCAGAAGCCTCCCCCTCCCTTCCCCCTCTCCTGCGCGCTCCTCGAGCGGTCGCACGCCGCCGCGGGACGCGCGCGCCCTCTCCCCGCGAGGCCGGCGCGCCCCCCTGGCCGCCGCCGCCGCCGCCGCCGCCGCCGCCGCCGCCGCCGCCCCCCGCCGCCGCCGCCGCCTCCTCCTCCTCCTCCTCCTCCTCCTCCCTCCTCCTCCTCCTCCTCCTCCTCCTCCTCTCCTCCCTCCTCCCTCCTCCTCCTCCTCCTCCTCTCTCCTCCTCCTCCTCCTCTCCTCCTCCTCCTCCTCCTCCTCCTCCCTCTCCTCCGCCCCCCAGACTCCTCCGCCCCCCTCTGGGAGTCGGACACTCATGCACGTCCACCTCGGTCCTCCCCCATCTCCGCCTTCGGCTCTGACTGCCTGCCCCCCCCTCCTGGAGGGGGGAGGGGGGGGGACGAGGTGGATCGGTATCGCTGTCCCACTCCTCACTCCGAAAGCCTACCGCTTCATCCGAAGACGTTTCATCCGGAGCGATGGCGCGCGCTCGCGAGAGAGCTGGCCAAACTTCGCGCGTCGCGACCCGGGATGCGGAGCGCGCGGTCAGCTTAGCGCTTAGCGCCCTCGCGAAAGCACCCTGGACCAGAGCAGAAAGCCGAAGGAAACCGAAGCGAAGCGCAGTGTGCTTCGGCAGCCTCGCGATTTCCCTCGAGGAAGGCGCTGCGGCGCCGAGTGACGACTGCGAATGCGGCGCATGAAGGAAGAATATTTAAAAAAGACTAGACGGGATACTAATCACCATCATCCTCGTCAATACGGACATCGTATCGTAATCGGCTTCGTCGTCATCATCGTCAGCGTCGACTAGACGGGTTCTTCTGAGACGCTTTCTCCAAGCTACATCTTCTGAACGGATTCTTCTGGGACGACTTCTTCCTGGACGATTTCTTCCAGAACCAATGCTTCCGGAACGAATTCGTCCGGGACGACTCCTTCCAGGACGTTTTCTTCCAGATTGAATTCATTTGAAAGGACTTCCTCCAAGCGAACTTATTCCGGGACGAGTCCGACTTCTGCCGAGGCGAATTATTCCCGAGCGAACTTGTCTGGGACAAAATCTTCCGAATCAGATCATTCAACCCTGCATCGCCCTCTCATCCACTATACATTCCTGAACAGGCAGACACATTCATCCGAAAGAATTTATCCGGGCGAGTTCATCCGGAGACGAGTTCATCCGCAAACGAGTTCTTATGGGCGAACTCATATGGACAACCTCCTCCAGACGAGTTCGTCTGGAAGAACGTCCTTGCGGATGAACTCGGCGCGGGTACAATCGTTCAAAATGAACTGGTCTTAGGTCGAGCATGTCCCCCTACAGGCGGATTTTGGACGAAAAATTAAATATAATCAACACATGCCCAAACAGGTTCAACATTATCAGAGTGAGGGGGCTGAACCGAACGGTCATTCACTGTCCCTGGGTGCGTGGCTGAAGTGGAATTCCGCGCTGCGGATTATCGTTGTTGTTGTGATTGTTGCTGCGGTTGTTGTTGTGTTTGTTGTGTGTTGTTTGTCGTTTGTCGTTTGTTGTTTGTTGTTTGTTGTTTGTTGCTTGTTGTTTGTTGTTTGACGTTGTCGTCGTCCCACCCGCGACCGGCCCCGCAACCCACCCGCGACCCACCCCGCGACCCACCCGGGACCCACCCGCGACCCACCCCGCGACCCACCCGCGACCCACCCCGCGACCCACCCGCGACCCACACGCGACCCACCCGCGAGCCACCCCGCGACCCGCCCGCGACCCACCCCGCGACCCCCCCGGCGACCCACCCGCGAGACCCACCCGCGACCCACCTGCGACCCACCCCGCGACCCACCCGCGACCCATCCGCGACCCATCCGCGACCCCCCGCGACCCGCCCGCGACCCACCCGCGACCCACCCCGCGACCCACCCAAAGTTTTCGGCGCCTGCGGCGGGCTTCTTTTACATTCGTTCCAGGTGGAGAACCTGCAACCCACCCGCGACCCAAACCGCGTTCAGTGTACAAATTACAAATGTTCGGCGCCTGCGGCGGGCTGTTTTTGAATCCCCTCCAGGTGGAGGTGGAGAGCCCGCGACCCACCCGCGACCCACCGTCGACCCACCCGCGACCCACCTGCGACCCAACCCGCGACCCACCACCGACATTGTTTTAACAAAAAATCGGCGCCTGCGGCGGGCTCGTTGTATAGCTTGAAAATGTTGCGCCTGCGGCGGGCTTCTTCAGAGCCTCGCAGACTGCAAACGTCCCCGCCGCCCCCTCACTCTTGTCCGCAACTGCGGGGTGCTACGTATAAGAAAAATGTCCCCAGACTTTTTGGAAATTCCTCCTATAGAGAGGCACGCCCGACTTAAAATGGTCGTCCTCCCCTCGCTCCCCCACCCCACCTCCGGCCACAGCCGGCGCCGTCGTGCACCCCCGAGGCCGGAGCCACGGCCGCGTCAGCACCCCGCTGGTCAGCAGGAGCACCAGGTTGGACGAGGAGCGCACGCGGGCAAGGATGTCGTCCGTGCTCTCGAGGTCCTGCGCCGGGCGGGGAGGAGGGGGAGGGGGAGGGGGACCAGCTAGGTGCGCTCGCGTCATATCTGACATCCTACCCCTCCCTCCCATCCCTTACCATGGCGCAGATCCCCTCTCTACTCGCACAGTCGGATGTCGAGCAGGGCAATGATCCCGAGAGGGTACGCGATGCATTGTAGAGCACGGCATGGCATGGCGTAGAAGAGCACCGCAAAGCGCAGTGTCAACCTAGCATTGCATTGCATGCCGTGGCATGGCATGGGAAATGACGCCAGCGCTGCAGCGGGAGCACGAGTCGAAACGAGCGGAAGCGCGGAAATGAGGCCAGCGCTGCAGCGGGAGCACGATTCGGAACGAGCGGAAGCACGGAAATGAGGCCAGCGCTGCAGGGGAGCACGATTCGGAACGAGCGGGGCCCGAAAATGAGGCCGGCGCCTCAGCGAGAGCAGCATTTTGAAAAACATGCAGGCGAAAACCCAACTCCGGGGAAACCTGTGTAAAAAAACGGTACGCGGGGGAGGTGGGGGGGGGGGGGGGCACTTTCAGGCCGTCATCAGGGGAAGAGGGAGAGTAGTATTTCATATTGAGACATTGTGGAGGAGGAGAAGGAGGAGGAGAAGGACGACGACGACGACGAAGAGGAGGAGAAGGAGGAGGAGGAGGGGGAGGGGGATGACGGGAAGGAGGTTGCTGCCACTACAGAGCTACAGGGCAAAAGCCTGGACATCCGATGTCGTGTTTTCCCACGGCGTCGGCGAGGGCCCCGGGAGGCCGTCTAACAACAAAGAACATTTCGGCCGTGGCTTCGTCACGACGCGAGGAAGTCCGGGGAGCCCGGGCTGGTCGCCAGAAGCCTTGGGCCGAGACGGGGCTCCCCCCAGCAGGTGTACTGCACCCTCGGGAGCGGCACATCCTAGCGCGCACGCAGCTCAGCTCGGGAGGACCCCAGAAGTGGTCCCACGACTCAAAGACGAAGCCAGGACGAGGATAAATTCGGGTGGGGGTGCATCGAGAATCTTGCAAATCCGGCGGCTCTGGAGGATATCTCGGGCGCTGCGCCCTTCCCAGAGCGTTCTGGAACGCTCTGGAACAAGTTTTCTATCGTCCTATCCCCGTCCGACGACCACTCTCTGGCTGACGAGAGACCGCGAAAATTGGCACGGCGGGCTCGTGTAGTGACAACCTCCGCGCTGGTTTCTGACACGGCGTGGATCCTTCGACCTCAACCTTCAACGACCGGCGGCTTTCCCATAGCCAGATTGTTCCATATCGGCCAGATCTGGGCCACTGAGGGGGGAAGACGAGGACGAGGACGAGGATAATGGAGAAGCAGAAGAGGAGCACCCACCAACAGAAAAGATTGTCGATGCATGGCAGCAGCGGTGGCGACAAAGAGAGAGGCGGGGCGCGCGCGCGAGCCTGAACTGGAGGAGAAAGAGGAGGAGACACAACGTTCTAAGTCTGTCTGACAGCTGTAGATAACCCGCACCTCACCAGACCGAGGGTTGGGAGTGGGCGGCAGCCCTTGAGATAATAACCTCGCGGCGGAAGAAGCACACGACGGCGAAAAAGGCCGAGAGCGGGTACATAGCTGAGGCAAGAGCTGGCTCGGAGAAGACGCCGCGACATCCGAGGAAAAGGAGGAGGAGGAGGCCCGGGAGCCGGCTCCGCAAACGGGGTCGACCCTGCACCCCGCACCGCACGTCTCACGCGCGGTGTCCTGGCGCGCCCGCTCCGGCACCATGAGCAGCTCTCGGCTCCGCCGCCCGCGCTGCGTGCCCGGCTGCGCCCTCCTGCGGCCGGGCACGCTTGCTCCGCGCGTCGCGGCGGCGTCCCCAGCGGCACGCTGCGCCCCGTCAGCGGGGCAGCGCGTCGCTCCGCTGCGCGGGGCGGGAGGCTCCGAACGGCCCGAGGCGTCGACGCCTGGGGATTGGGAAGCGGTCAGCGCATCGCGCCGAAGCGTGGTGGGCCAGAGCCGGCGGCGCGACACGCTGAGCAGACGCTCCTGACCCCTAGTATCAGCACTGCCTCCTTAAACGCTGGTACGGCTCGGAACCTCTCGGCATCGGCAGATCCCTGAGCACCGAGCAGCGAGCCGTGCCGATTGCATGTATCATCAGTGCCGCGAGAGCCAGAGCACTGGCACAGATCCCTAAAAATGATCGACCCACGAAGCCAGGTAGGAATCAAGAAATGTAAGGCATGGCAACGTCTTCGAAGACGCATGATTGGGCGACGGGCACATGCAATGCTGAGTGTATCGGTTCTTGATGTACCGTGCCGAAGGCTGTGCTGTGCTGCACCGTTCTGAATTGCGATGTGCCATGCCGCGATTGTGCTCTATAGCGTTGTGGATCGAGTCCTCCTTTGCATCCGAGTCCCGACCGAACTGATCTGGATCTGAAGCTGGAGCTGCCTGAGCACATAGTAGCTGCCCCAGAGCTAATTGACAGGGGGGACATGCCAGGAGGAGGCGCCGCGGAACGTCCCAAGGGACGCGCCAGGCGACGTGCCAGGGGACGTGCCATGGGGACGAACCGCGGGACGTGCCAAAGGGACGCGCTACGGAACATGCCAATGGACGTACCACGGGACGTGCCAGGGGACGCGCCGCGCGACGTGCCAGGGGGACTCGCCACGGGACAATCATGTTAGATAACCCACTGGGTGGCCTGGACACGTAAAGACACGTGGATCCAGCTCTGGGCAACCATGCTAGATACACCCATGGGAGGCCTGGACACGTTAAAACACGTGGTCCTTGCTCGGGGCAACCATGTTAGATACACCCCTTGGTGGCCTGGACACGTTAAAACACGTGGTCCTTGCTCGGGACAACCATGTTTGATATCCCCCTGGGTGGCAACATGATCGGCCCACGAACCCGGAAAATAATCACAAACATGTAAAGCATGGTCACGCTTCAAAGACACATGATTGGGCGACGGGCAAATGCAATGCTGAATGTACCGATCTTGATGTACCGTGCCGAAGGCTGTACTGTGCTGCGCCGTGCTGAAATGCGATGTGCCATGCCGCGATTGTGCCCTATACTCTATAGCGTTGTGGATCGTGTCCTCCTTTGCATCCAAGTCCTGACCGAACTGATCTGGATCTGAAGCTCGAGCTGCCTGAGCACATAGTAGCTGCCCCAAAGCTAATTGACAGGGGGGACATGCCAGGAGGAGGCGCCGCGGAACGTCCCAGGGACGCGCCAGGCGACGTGCCAGGGGACGTGCCATGGGGACGAACCGCGGGACGTGCCAAAGGGACGCGCTACGGAACATGCCAATGGACGTACCACGGGACGTGCCAGGGGACGCGCCGCGCGACGTGCCAGGGGGACTCGCCACGGGACAATCATGTTAGATAACCCACTGGGTGGCCTGGACACGTAAAGACACGTGGATCCAGCTCTGGGCAACCATGCTAGATACACCCCTGGGTGGCCTGGACACGTTAAAACACTTGGTCCTTGCTCGGGACAGCCAGGTTAGATACACCCCTGGGTGGCCTGGAGACGTTAAAACACGTGGTCCTTGCTCGGGACAGCCATGTTAGATATCCCCCTGGGTGGCCTGGACACGTACAAACACGTGGTGCCAGCTCGGGACAACCACGTTAGATACACCTCTGAGTAGCCTGGACACGTTACAACACGTGGTCCGTGTCCGGGACAATCATATTATATACCCCACTGGGTGGCCTGGACAAGTAAAAACACTTGCACGTGGTTCAAACTCGGGGCAACTATGTTGGTTATCCCACTGGGTGGCCTGGACACGTGAAACGGCGTGTTTCCAGCTCGGGACAACCATGTTAGATACACCCCTGAGTAACCTGGACACGTTAAACACGTGGTCCTTGCTCGGGACAATGATGTTAGATACCCCCTCTGGGTGGCCTAGACAAGTAAAAACACGTGGCTCCAGTTCGGCACCACCATGTTGGAAATCCCCCTGGGTGGCATGGACACGTGAAGACATGTGGTTCCAGCTCGGGACCACCATGCTGGATACCCCCTGGGTGGCCTGCACAAGTAAAAACAAATGGTCCAGCCCACCCAGGGGGGATATCTAACATGCGGTCGTCTGGGGCGCAGGAGGGCCCAGGAACGCGAGGCGCCTGGAGGCAACACAAAGTCAAATAATCGATCCCAGATACAAATACACTCTCGACGTTGCGTTCTCGGCCCCAGGAAGGCCCCAGGAGGCCCATGTTAGATACCCCCCTGGGTGGCCTGGACACGTAAAACCCATGGCTCCAGCACATGACCACCATGTTAGATACCCCCCTTGGTGGCCTGGGCAAGTAAAAACATTCGGCTCCAGCGCAGGACCACCATGTTAGATATCCGCCTTGGTGGCGTGGACAAGTAAAAACACGCGGCTCCAGCTCGGGAACACCATGTTAGGTACATCCTGGGTGGCCTGGACACATGAAAACACGTGGTTCCAGCTCGGGACCACCATGTTAGATACCCCCCTGGGAAGCCTGGACACGTGAAACCACGTGGTTCCAGCCCACCCAAGGGAGATATTCAACATGCGGTCGTCCAGGGCGCCAGCTAGGGGCAGCCATGTCAAATACCCCCTGGGCGGCATGGGCACGTGAAAACAAACATTTCGCCTGAAACATCCTCTGAATTCTGGCCACCGACGAAGCCACGGCTCGAAACATCCCCCAACTCTGCAAAACTAGCGTTTCGCCTGAGACATCCTCAGCAAATGTGTATAAACCATGCGCCTCGCTAGGGACATCCTCCATTTTTCCACGCCGACTGGGACTTTACCTTGTTATCTATCGCAAATAATTTCGCCCGCGTGTATAAAATACACGTTTCGCTAGGGACATTCTCAATTCTGCCGCGCCGAATGTGATCTGTCTGTTGTATCTATCACAAATAATTTCGCTGGCCAGAATAAAACACGAGTTTCGCTAGGGACATCCTACATTCTCCCACGCCGAATGGGACTTCACCTCGTTATGCATCCCAAATAGTT